CAGTTTACATCCCTCATAGGGATCAGCCAGTTGTTATGGTTTTTCATGGTTGTCTGTTCTTTGCACAGTTATCTGAGATGAAGCTCAGCACTGATTTCTGCATCCATTTCTCTGCCTTAGTTGGATTACAGCTTCATAGTCTGATTTTTTAGAGAGCTGTCCCTTTGGACAATGTTTTATTGCTGTATGGAGGAGATGCAGATCTGCCTGACCGCAGACAGCAGATTGGTTTAAGAGATCTGTACTGAATTAGCAGGACCTAAGATCAATATATTTCTAAGCACATTTTAATCCCACTCAGCTGGAAGCTGCAGCCTCTGACCTCTGAAATGACCAGACTGCAGTTTCCTTCCTCATCGTAGTCGATCTGGAAGTGTCGGGTCTCTTTGATTGGCTGGTCATCTTTGTACCAAACCACCTCAGGGTCAGGGTATCCTGCAGCACAAAACAGCTGTTTAGGTCACAGTGAGTGCAGAGTTCAAATGAAAAAGCTTTCTGTTTGTTCAAGGAGCTCAGCAGCTTCATGACTTAGAAGAGAACACGTTCTTTACTATTAATTTGTCTAAAATAATGGAATTTTGTCTGTTTTAATATTTTTCAGTTTCCACACTAACTCCTCCTGAAGGATCATATGTTTAGATTTGATGCAGACCGTGTTAGTGGATGTAAACATCAGGATTAGCCAGTAATGAACTGAAGGAGCGGTTCTGATGGTTCTACCTTCTATCTTGCAGTCAAAGCGAGCAGCGCTGCCCTCCACCACCTCTACATCCTTGATGACGGAGGTAAAGGTGGGTTTACACTCAGTCTTCTGTTCATACTCCAAACACTCCAGGAACTGATTATCCTCTGGAAACAAACAGGAACACATTCCGTCAGTGGGAGGCGAAGACAGATGGGTCGTAGTTTTCCAACATTTGATCATCAGCAAACAGGAAGCTTTAAATCAGCCTAGAAGGCCCATAGTGGATCTGATCTGCAACCTTAGGAGCATTTTCTAATCGCTCTGCTCATTTGTAGCTCGGTTCTGGTCCAGTTAAAACCTAGTGGTTTGTTTCTACTTTTACAGCCAATGATCCCGATCCCTTATGTTTGATAGAATTGATATATATTAATATACCATATATGATTTGACCTGAACTAGTGATGCAAGTTATTTGATTATTGAATTAATCTAAATGTGATCGATCTTATCAATGAATTAAAAATTAATTGATATGCGAGAATTAAAGCAAAACCCCACATTTGTTGTTCTTTCCATTATGGGCTACATATTTATAAATATTTTCATTTATAACAAAATCTGGAAAAAAAATAGTACATCATTATATTTTAACAATTTACTGTGCCAGCTTTAATAAATACTGACTAAATAAATAAATGAATATTTTCTTCCATACATTTTCACTAAAAAGATATAAAGATATAAAATCCATGAACCTATAAGGTTAATATAAAACAGGAATACCATTATGTAAACTTCTTAGATGTTTATCTATCATTAACAGACAGGCTGTGTCGCTCTGACATACTGTCAGACTGTTGACCACTGTGGTTCAATGAAGATGATGCTAACCGAGATATAGCTCTCTGTTTTCAGTGTATTCCATCAGTCAGACCTAGGAGAGTCTTAGCACTGTTAGCAGAGCTTTTAAACAGGCGGTTCTGGTGTTGGTTTTTCTCAAAAAAAATTTAGAATTTGGATCCATGAAGTATATTATGTTGTAAAAGTCTTCTCCATCTTCTGTGTGAAATGCTGGTATTTCCTTTTCTACCTATTTACAGACATTCCAAACACAGAAGAGAAGTTCTGCTGCTCCTCCATGCAGCATGGCTAAATGAGCGCTATTAATATAATAACTTAAGGATTTTATTAAGTGTTGTATTTATAAACAAGACAGCATACAGTTCATTCTACATCCTTGTCGCCATTTAACAATGTGTATAATCCTGGAACAGTCTCTGGATTGATTCATGTTTCTGCTCTAGCAGGCATCTGCAACACTGAACAAGAGCGCTCTCTATTGGCAGGTGGTAACATTACAACAATGAAAGAAATGACTCATTTTTCAAATATTCAGATGGAACAAAGTGGAATGTAAAAAAAACGTTATTTGAATGTAAAGATGGGACTCAGCTTGATTGGGTTCGGTACCTTCGGTGGGCGAGCCCTTCTTGGCGCTGACGCCAGCCATCATGGCCATAGAGGAGAGTCGGCCGATAGCTCGAACGGCGTGACCCGTTTTCTGTCCCAGAGGAGGAGATGTGGACGTTACGATGGTTTCTACGGGGTGTTCTGCCTTCAAGTTCCTGTCATTTACCTGCCACTTTCTCCTCAGGATGTACTTCTTCATCCTCTCCTTGGACAGCTTGGTGGTCTTCATGGTGTTGGTGTCCTGTTTCAGCCAGGGGTGTTCAAAACACTGAGGACAGCTCAGCCGAGCCCTGAGAAGAGAAACATTACACTGTGAACAGATCCAGCAGTCTGCAGATCCTACCAACATCTCCTCCATGTGTTACGGTGATGAGATGTTTCTGGAGGGAACATCAGGATTACTTCATGTCCTTCTTTAGCAGGTTGGTGATGAAGTCTTTGGCGTTCTCAGAGATTTCATCAAAGGCCTCATCCTCAAAGTCCCAGGTGGCCGAGGTGACGTTGGCCAGAGTCTCGTTGTCGTTGTCGCCCATGAATGGAGAGAGACCGCTGAGCCTGAGGGGGGAACAGAGGAAACATCTTAGCTAAGGCGCCGCAGGCCAGGCCCGGTCCAACAGAGCTAAATCCTCACAGGATGTAACAGATGACTCCTATGCTCCACATGTCTGTGGGGTAACTGATGGCTTCATAGTTGATCACTTCAGGAGCCACGAACTCTGGAGTCCCAAACAGAACCTTCAAAGTTCCAGCGTTTTCTGTTGGCGGATAAAACCAGAGGTTAGGTCCAGACAGAGACCACTGAGGAAGAGTTTACTGGTCCCAGAGTTTTCCTACCAAGCCGGCGGGCCAGGCCGAAGTCGATGAGTTTGATCTTGCTGCCGGTCTTGTTGACACACATGATGTTCTCGGGTTTGAGGTCCAGGTGGACGATCCCCTGTTTATGGATGAAGTTGACGCCGTCGATGATCTGCAGCATGTATTTAATCACCTCCCTCTCTGTCAGCTCAAAGTCTTCATCGATGATTCGCTCAAACAGCTCGCCGCCTGAGATCCTGCAGACAGAGAACATAAAAACCTTTTCATGGCTCCGTTTTCCTTAATAAAACACTGAAAGATTTCCCGCATTTCAACAACATTTTTGGTTGTTTTACCACTAAAAAGTGATTCATTATTTAGATTTAACCATTTTTAAACAAACTGTGACTAACCTCCCTGTCATTTCAGCTTAATGCTGCCACCACCATGCTTCCACATTAGCTCTGTTTTACTTGTTTTAATATTAATTTCTCTCCAATCATATGTTTTTTTGTCTCCTACAACTGGCAGGACTTTTTATTTGTGTGCGATACAGGTACACTTGCACCTTAATCCTTATTTACCTTGATATACTGTATATACCTGGATATACTATATATATATATATATATATATATATATATATATATATATATAGTTTATTGTTTATTCTTAATGCACCTTTTCCTCCTTGTTTGCACCTTCTTTGACTTCTATGCCAATATGTAACAAGTGAATTTCTCCGCTGTGAGATCAATAAAGCTTAATCTAATCTAATCTAATTTAATCTTATTTCACTGTTTTCAACAGTGTCTTCATTGTTCCTCTCCTCTACAGCCTGAGTCCTTGAAGTCCATGATTGATTTTCCTGTTCCTAGATCTTCCCACCTGAGCTGTTCACTGCAGCTCCTCCAGAGTTACCCTCAGCTTCCTATCTGCCTTCCTGATCTGCTTCCTCTATTTACTAAATAGAGTATGTATTTATTTTACTAAATAGTATGTATTTATTCTGTTGGACTGGATTTATTTATTTGGTAGAAATAAAGTAAAGGGGTGTTTATGAAACGCATGCCACAATTTCCACAATCTGATTTCTCAAAAGTTTTAAAACCAGTGTGTAATTTTCCTTTCTATAAACAGTTATATATATGTTCAGATCCAGCTCATAAATTCAGAGTAAAGGTTATTTTAGTTTATGGTGCAAAATAAGGAAGCATAAAAAGCTTCAGTAATTTAAAGACACCAAAGCAAATGCTGTAATGTCTGTTAATGAATTACATTCTAAGAAATAAAACTCATCATTCTGCTCCTGTTTTAGATTTAAAAGACAAAAGGATTCCTCTAAATTCAGGTCTCAGATTTAAAACTTTGTCTGGTTAAACTGAGCTTTAGTTTCCTGTTTGTTTGTTCCTTCGTTTGCTGCTGCCTCCTTAATGAACCTGTGGATCCGAGATGATCTGATGGTAAACACTCCTCTTCCTGTTTGGATGCCCAGTTTTCATCATGTCAGCAAATATTTGCTGCTTCCTCTCCAGAGTTTATTTATCAGAGTTAAAACTGAAAGTCCTTCTGAATAACAGGAAATCAGCTCAGAGTTCAGCAGCCATGACTAAAGAAGTGGATCAGTGTTTCAGGGAGTTTGTTTCTAATCTTAGCTCTCAGGAAATGTTTGCTCCTGAATTCCTCCCATAGCTCAGCAGAAATGGTTTCCTCTGTAAAGCATCTTGTTTGTGTTTGCAGAGCAGCTCAGATGTTTAGAACCTCAGTAACCCTGCAGGGGGAGAACCTACATCTCCAGCACCATGACGATGTCCGACTTGCCCTCGAAGGCGTCCACACACTGCACCAGTTTGGGGTGATGGAGGCTGTTCATGATGCCGATCTCCTGCCGGACGTTCTCCTTCTCCTTGGCCGAGTACGCTTTGATAAACTTTCCGGCCCAAACCTTCTTGGTGGATTTCTCCACCAGCTTGAAGACCTGACCGAACTTCCCCCTGAGACACAATCAGAGCAGGTCTTAGTCTGCGCTGGCTGACCCCTGGGAGCGAGGTGAATGGGCGGAGCCTTACGTTCCCAGCCGCTCCTCCACGTCGTACATCTCCTTCACCTTCACGTCGGTTCTGATGATCACGTCTCTGTACTCTGGTTCTTTTTCTGGGTGGAAACACAGAGAAACCAGGTCATCCTGACAGCCATGGTTCATGAACGCCATGTGGTCAGTCTGCTGAGGCTCCTACCTTCATCATCCTCCTCTACCTCCACTTCCTCCTGGTTGTCTGTTAGAGGAATCAAACAGCAGTGTTAGTGCAGTTAGTGGTGTTAGTCCAGTTAGTTGGACCTGGTTCTGGTTTAGGAGCAAGCTCTGATTTCATGATCACATCTAATTCCCTAAGGGCCCCTCCTTTCAGGAGTCACCACACTGGAGCCAGGGTTTTTAGTTGCTATAGCAACAGGAAAAACTCAATACAAATATCTGTTTTCCATCAAGTATGGATTTCTCTCTATGCAGAAAGTAATCATTCATTTAATCTGATAAATCCTGCTTTTCTATCGTCTCAGTGATAAATTGAGATTATAAAATAAAATAGTAAGCTGAGAAGCTCCTAGAGGCCAGAAAAGTGAAGATTAGCTCTCAGAGAACCAGAACAGGTTAGTGAGAGAACATCCTGTGATGCTTTGCAGGAGAAACATTTTAAGTTGACAGAAATATTTTCTTTTTCCATACGAGGAGTTTAAACTCGTCTCATCTGTTCAGAGGAGGAAGTTATATGTTGTTAATGTAAAGGTTTAAAACTAATTAACAAAAATTTAAATTCTTAGTAATTCAGGAGATGTTAGAGGAAAACTACTGCAGTGGTTTTAAATGTGTTAGAATGATTAAGATAAATAAAATTTGAAAATAAATACAAAGAAATAAAAACAATTCAGACACTTCTGCTAGCTTGACACTGTTTTTCTCCTGTTTATATTTTTGCTCCTTAGATATGTAGGCTAGTTACACCCAATAACAAGAGTCCAGTTACACATGATAAATAGTTTACAGATGTTATTAACTAATCTTTAGATACTTTCTTACTCATTCGTAAGTGTTCATTATGCATTAATTAGCTGTGTTAATTGAAAAAATTGACCGGTTTTTAACCAAATAATGAACCTAAGATGTTTAACTATATATTTTAGATAGCAATGTCTTTTTTAGCAGGTATAAAATGTTAACTGCATTATAAACACTTGAATGAGAAAGAACATTTTATGTATGAAATAAAAGCATCTATAAACTAGTTATGAGCTATCTATACGGTGATAGTTATTGTAAAGTGGTAGTGATGTATTTGTAGTAGTTCAGTATTTATTACCAGCTTATACTCTGGTATCCATCCCTGACATTATGCTGTTGTGTCTTTTCTGAAAAGATGACAAAAGGATGTGCAAGTTTCTAAGTCTATTTTATTCTTTATTTCTTCTAAAAATTAATATCATTATTTTAGGGGACTATTTGAAAAGGATTTTATTGTGAGTTTATTTCCAACCTGGATTCATTATCTATGGTTCTGGAGCATTTCTGGGGAGAACTTTGGCATTTGGTCTGATCCATCAGACTTTATTAAATCTGATTAAGAAAGCAGGAGGAGGGCGGTTTAAACAGCAGGACTCCTCTGATGATGGATCTGATGATCTACCAGCACCTGAAGGTTCTGGAGTGGACGGATCTCTGGTTATGTTCAGAACTTTTTTGCAGGTTCGTCAGAACCTTTCAGCTGGACCAATGAAAGCATTTCCCTCTGAATTTATAAACGACATCAGTGAACCTAAGATCTGTTTATTTTCTGCAGGCTGAGCTTCTATGGAGGTAGATCAGTCTTAATTTTCACAAATTCACATATGTGATTTATACATGCACAGGACAATTCACACAAGCACAAAAAATCCACATACATGCTGTGCATGTGTGGATCTTGTCCTGTGCATGTCTGGATATTTGTGAAAATTGAGGCTGATCTACCTCCATAAGCTTCTGCCACCTGTTTAAACAGGAAGTGGACCTCCTTTTATCAGACCCACAGTGTTATGGATCTCTGAACTGGTTCAGTTCCAGTTTTCTCACCGTCGTCCACCAGTCCCACTGTCACAGGTTCAGACTCGGCACTCGGCTCTCCGATCCCATAAATGTTCTGAGCTCGGACTCGGAACTTGTACTGTCGCTCTGGGAGAAGGTTCTGGAGACAGAAACGGTGTCAAACATCGGATCCTAATCTGTTCTGTCTCGGGTTCGGATGTAAACCCACCTGGACGTTGTAGGAGGTACTGTTGCAGGAAACCAGCTGTTTCCACTGCTGCTCCACAGAGTCCCAGATCTCCAGGTGGTAGGTCTGCACGGCGCTGCCCCCGTCGTAGGTCGGTCCGTACCACGACAGGGTCAGGCTGGAGCGCCGGATGTCCGAGGCTGCCGGGACCTTGGCCGGGGGGTCGGGTTTATCTGAGGAGGAGGGAGAAGATGGGACAGGGGGGGCAGACATTTGTTAGACATCAGAACCAGCTGTAAATCTGACTGATCAATAATCTTTACGGTTAATTTAATAGATAATGAAACATTTGTGATGTGATGCAGTGGGTAGCACTGCTGCCTTGCAGCAAGAAGGTTCTGGGTTTGTTCTGGGTCTTTCTGCATCGAGTTTGCATGTTCTCCCTCAGCATGCGTGGGTTCTCTCCAGGTACTCCGGCTTCCTCCCACAGTCCAAAAACATAACTGTTAGGTTAACTGGCTTCTCTAGTTTCTCCTTAGGTGTGAGTGTGAGAATGAATGGTTGTACGGCCTGTCTCTCTCTGGCCCGCCCAGCGACGGACGACCGACCCATCCAGGACCCACCCCCCCACCCACCCACAGACAGAGAGAGACACCAGCACCCCTCGCGACCCCAACTGGGACAAGCGTGTCAGATAATAGATGGATGGATAATAGTTTAGTAAAGTTTCAGGAGTGATCAGTTTGTTTCCCAGCGGAGCTTGTTTCAGCCTTTCAGAGGAGCAGCAGATGTTTCGTACCAACGATGGTGAGGTTGAGCGCCGCCTGTCGGAGGCCGTAGCTGTTCTTCAGCTCCACGGTGTAGCAGCCGCAGTGCTCCTGCTGCCCGCTGCTGATGGTCAGCTTGCTGCTGCTGTCGCTGTTCTCTATGGAGATGTCCGAGGAGCCTTCCTGGATCTGAACCATGAAAACCAGTCAGAAGGTTTCAGGCTGAGCTGGACCACCAGCTGCTCAGACACTCACCGGTTTCCTGAACTTCAGCCAGGTGCAGGTGAGGGGCGGAGCTCCTGAGAACTTGCAGAGGATCTCCACCTTTTCTCCTGCAAGGATCTTCATGTCTTCTGGGAACTGCACGATTTGAGGCGGCAGAGCTAAAGAACGACACCAATAATCAATGATTACTGCTGAGTAGGAAGCAGAGAAGCATCAGTCAGGCTTTCATTGACATTATTGATTGTTTCAGTGATGATCGGCTTCACGGTGATTTAGGTGATTAGGTGCTTTACCTTGTTTAGGAGGAGTTTTTGGAGTTGGCTTCTTTATCCTGGCTTCACCTGATGGAAACACAAACAGACATTCATTCAAACACCTGGATCCTCCCACAGCGCAGACCTCCTTCCAGAACCTCATCTAAAGTCATTCTGCTTCCAAACACTCCTGATCCTCAGGTTCTCATCAGTTTCCTTTATCATAATTTTTTAAGCATTTAACAGGGTGCTGTGTTTTTTTCAAAAACATTTTGAACAAAAACAACCATAAAGCTGCATTCCCCAATCCATTACGAAATAAATGGTGCACGAAGGACATCGATACGACTTATTATGCCAGAGTTTTGGGCATTTGTTCTGCACAAGATCAAACAGGGGGTAAAGCCAGGGATAGTGAGGGGAGACAGTGGCTGAAAACCCCTTTTTTCCAATGGATGCCTCTCCCAAGCTATTTACTGTAAAAACATGAAACTTGGTATAGAACATCTTCAGACCCTTCTAGCACTCACGTTGAAGGAATTTTTTCAGTATCATTCATGGTTTAGCTGTTTAGCTGAATTGCACATGAAAACATTGATTCTGAGAAAAAAAACCTCAGACTGAAATCTTACAAAAGAATCCACATTTTTACATCGTCACCGTGGCAACATAGTTTTAGGTAGAAACGTGAAAGTTGGTATACTTGTTCATCAAAGCCTGTTGAATCTCAAAATTATTTCTCTATCTATGTGTCTATGGGCAAATGTATGATAAAATAATATCTTCATCACTAATGCCTAATGAAATATTGCTGTTTTCTTCCAACTCGGAAGGAAATTTCGTCCCTTCAAAACTTTTCCCGGTCTGGCTGACGCCATTTCAGTCCAAAAAACATTTTTCACTGTTTAGACATTAGATAATAGAAGAGGTTTCTGCAGATTAGCTGCTAGAACTCTGTCTAAACTTTACGCCTAAACTTTCTGCCTGGCATTCTGAATGAGTGAGGACATCTATGTGTTCGCTGTATCCCAACATGGCTTCTAATGTTGCTCTAAAGTTGTTCTGGCTTCTACTTTAACTGTTTCTATGAGCTTCTCTTCTGCTTCTCTCATTAAAGGGTTGATGACACAATATTGCTATTTTCTAACATTTTTTGTTGACAAAAACATTAATACAGATGATCAATGTAATAATTTTCATTTTAATTTTTAAAATAGTTTTCATCTGCAAACCTCTGCTGTTCAGAGGACTCTAGCGCCGCTCAGTGTCTGAGGTATAAAACAGGAGTGATGTATGCAGGAGAAAGTCTGAGAGCTGGAGCAGCTGGTTTGTTCTGGACAGATGCTGAAGTTTCCATGGATTCAGATGGAGCTCATTCCTTCACACTGCTGCAGTCATATTAGCGTCATCCTGAGGCTCAGAGTCAGACTCACTCAGAGTCACTCTGGATGGTTCTGACCTGTAAGCTGTGAGTCCTCTGTATCCCTCAGCATCACTACCCTCTCCTTTGCCTGAACTGGATGATGCTTCAATCAATTTAGACTAGATGTTCCAGAACAATCATCAGTGATTCCATCCATCTCCATTATTGGATGCTAAGTTAACTCCACCATGGAGATGGTTTTTCCTAGCTATAATTTGTGCTGATGTGGAGCTACAAAATGTTAAAAATAAGTCAATTTGATTCATAATAACTCAGAACCATCTGGTTTGTCCTGCTGCATGATTTTAATGCTAAATGACATTAATTTAATAATAATAACCAACCTTTTAAAGAGCCTCCTGCTCTGCTTTCAGCCTCAGTAGATGGACTCACCAGATGACGGATTGACCGGAGCTCTAAGAGGTGATCTAGTCTTTGGATATGGTTTCTGTCTGAACCACTGTTTTCTCCCTGATCTGCTGGATTCCTTGTTCTTCATAAAGCTCTTTATTCACTAATAAAGTAATAAAACTCTCAGACCTTTAAAATCTGATTAAAATAAACCATAAAGGTCCGGTTTCATTGTGGGAGTTTATTTTGTTTACTGTTTTTCTTTGTAAAAAATAAAGATTCTTCTGTTTTGCTTTTTTATTTTTTTTTTATTTTTATGATAAATTAAGAGCTGATTTGCTCTTTATGTGATCGTTCCTCTCCTGCTGGTTTGTTTGTGCAGGAATGAAGTTTCCATGTTGGAACAGAAAGTCCGGCTCCTTCAGAGAAGCAGCAGAACAAGAATGTGAGACTGCAGAGGAGCGTCGCAGACGACCATATAAGGACAACCTATTAATAGTTCCTCTGATGCAGGAAGTACAGTTAGTTATTAATCCTGCAGAAGAAGTGGAGATCTGATGTTGGAGGTGATTTTCTATATATGTGTTTCTGCTGATTTTCTATGTATTATAACAGAGATTCTCATTACTGCGGGTTCTCATGATGAAAACATCTGGATCTAAAACAAGCCTGAGAAATGCTCCACTTCACACAGACTCACTAATTCAACTCTTTTACAAACTAGGATGGCAGCTGGAATCTTCACCTTAATTAAACCTGAGGTGACAGAAGCCCAGCAAACATCTTAATATGGTAAACTATGTTTTCATGCTGGAAGGACGAAGCAACAGGAAGACGTCGTCGTTGTTGATGCATTTCAGGCTGTTTATTCAAGGTTATTGATGCAGCCATGAATGAAACGTTCATATTTGCTGCTGTTCTTAATCTGGGATTACTGTAACCAGGCAACGCAGTCATTGATGATGAGGATTATAATCCATGATCATCCTCATTTTAACAGACATTGTTTTTCCTGTGTTAATAATGAGTTTGTAGAACCGACCAATTGATTTTACTCTGTTATGTTTCAACCACATTATTTTTAATTGGATTTCATTATTGAAATAGAAGCAGAATCCGGTTTAAACTACAGAAACCAAACATCACAATATTTAATGTTCTTTAACAGAACAGATGACATTAAGACAAATCATTTATTTGTTCCTGCCTATAAACAAACAAAACAAATAAACAAAACAGGAAAGTGGAATAATTTTTAACTCTGCATTAAATAATAACATTTCAATATCACTCATATTATTATCTACCATCTGGAAAGAGACTTTCTCATGTAAATCCGTCAAATTGTGTGAAATTCATCTCCTGCTGGATGCAGGATTATTGACAATAAATAACTAAACTGTTTTGCATAAAATAGAAATATGTATGGTTAGTATTGCCATAGAACAGGTTGGAAATATGTTAGATGGAAAAATATATTAATGTGTTTATGGAAAACAAACAAATGTTTCCTGGAGATCGTCTGGTTGATCCTTTAAACCTGAGATCAACAGAAAGGATCAGAGTTTCTAAGATCACCTGATGAGCAGATCACCTAATTACTGGTTTTAATGGAAGCAGCTGATCTGAGACAGAAAATCCTCCAGAATCCTGAACCTCTGCGCCCCAAAAGTCTCTCAGAACCGGATGAACTTTTTAAAAGTTTAGATACAAGCAAAAAAAACAAACAGACAAAAAAACAAAAACAAAACAAAATAAAAAACAACCCAAAACACAAAAAATTATAATTAGGTAAAAAATGTCCAACTTTTTTCTCAGAACTTTTCCAAAGCTAAAGTTTCCAGTCAGAACCAGTCTGAGTCCGACTGGAACTGAGAGGTTGGGTTTTTCTTTTACCTCCAGAAGGTTGTTTCAGCAAACTGCTCCCACTAAAGTTTCTATCATTGAATGTTAACCATTAGATAATCTGATGCTTGGATTTTATCCAGACGAGTTTTAATTTCCTCCAGAATAGGAATAAATCAAACTGAATCACATCAGGAACTTTTTCTCATTTTAATCCTGTTTTCTTCTTATTTTTATCTTACGGTTGCCCTAAAAACAATAAGCTGTTTTTTTTTATTTGGACATTAAAGTTGCGACTCAATGCTTGGGTCAAAACATAGCATGAGTTACAGGGAAGTATCTGGTTGGTTGAATTTAACACGCCTCCTATAGTTACCTGAACACTTTATTTAATAATCAAAACAAACTAAATCAAAATATTCAATAAAAACTGCAGCAAACACCGATGACTAGAGTGAAGATGTGCGTAGGGAAAACTTTTAACCCTCCTGAACAGATCCTTCCTCACCTTCTGCACGGTGGAGAGGACAATTAAACAGATGATAAACATCTGGAAGTCCAAGAAGAAGAATTTAACTGGTCTCATAGCTTTCCTAATGGGAATGAAAATTGGACTCTAAAATTAATGCTGGCAAAAGACAGTAAACTAATTTCCTTCTTCTAAAAAAACAAAAAACACTCTCCTTTTGGCTCTAAGGAGATGTCAGTAATTATGACAGAGTATCTCAGCTCCAGTTATTTATTGGATTAGATAAAGTAAAGCTCTCCCTGTTTATACTTGCAGCAACTCCCCCAAGTGGGGAATTTGACTTCAGGGGTTATTTTAGATTTCCGATGTCCTTGTGTAAATGAAATACTCAGCTACAGGGAAGTACTTTCTAAATTTAGACGTAAAGCAGAAGTTTCTCTTTGATCGAGCGTTGAAGCTTTTCCTAACATGAATCTTCCTGTTAGATCAATGATTGATGAAAGCAGAGCAGCAAAGCTCAGCTTCTATCATTCAGCAGATCACTGCAGGCATCAAAACCTCCATCAGTGCAGAGAAAATATCTACGGCCAACATTCCTGTGCAGCCAGAACATCTACGGATCAACCTGACTGTTAAATGAAGCTGAAACAGGAAAAATAAAGAAGCTGCTGCTGCTTCAGAACTGGACCGACTGAGACCTGCTGTCAGTCCTGAAGCTACAGAGACACACTTCTCTAAAAAACTATGAAACATTTCAGCCTGAGGAATCCCTCATTTCCAGTCTGTTAGGTATTTGGGTAACTGGGAACCAGCAGCTCCACCAAGATGAGCTTCATAAAAGGAAAGCTGTTTCGCTTTCAGGCTTTTCCTCTGCAGCTCGGAGTAAAACGAGACATGAGCGAGGAGACGGAGAGAAGGCCTTAAATGGAAACGAGGGAGAGGAGTTCCCATCCTCCACCTTCACCCCCTCCTCGCATCCCCATCCTTCCTCTGTCAGCTCATATCTGAGGGGAAAACTCTGCAGCCGGCTGAGACCTTCAGGGAGGAGAGGAGGAAATGTTTCCCTCATCCTTCATTCAGTTCCTAAAAAAATCCTCTGATCCAAATCAAACATTTTTTTTCACTGGATGTTTGAGTTACAGTAAAAATGTTCTGCTTGCTTCATGTCCGCTGAAATGTTCAAACCGATGAGCCGGTTTTTACTGAGAGCAAACATTTTCAGCAGGACGTCGTAAACAGGACAGCAGCCGGAGGACTGCCTTAAAAGGACTGCAGAAGAAGAGTTCAGCTCTGAGGAGCAGAAGAATGTAACCCTGTCGGCCATTTTATAAACACCACAGGAAACCTTAGGAAACACGGATCAGGCGGTTTATTTAGCTGATAGAGAAAGAGCTGGAGGCTAACGGTTCTGCTGGGTCTGAGAGGGACGGAGGAACAGAACCAAGTCAGACGATTCAATGGAGACTCAGTTCAGTCAGAATGAAAGGATCCAGTTTAAAGTAGAGATCAGAACCCAGTAGAAACCAGTTCAGAAAAACTCTGGAAAAACGATCTAGATATAAGTAAAAATTTCTTAAGTTTAGTGTATGATTAGGTAATTAATTTGATTAGGTAAATGAGATGCCAATGGAATGAGTATTTCTACTCTTAAAATAAGATAAGATAAAATACACTTGAAATAAGACAATGCAATTGTGTTTTCTTATTTTAAATGTAAATTTTCTTATTCCATTGGCAAAGTGTCTCTTTTACCTCCTCAATTCAAGAACAAATGCACCTATTGTAAGAAAAAAATTACCTATCTAGATTTCAATTATTTTCCAGTGAAGTAGGTGTTCACTGCAAACATCATCTAGAAATAGGTTAAAAAAAAAATCTATCTTTTTACCCTTAATTTGAGTAGCTAAAAAAGATGATTTGCCTTTGGAATAAGTATTTTTACTCTTAAAGTAAGATAATTGCATAATATGTACTTAAAATAAGACAATGCAGTTGTTTTTTGTTTCTTATTTTAAAGGTAAATTGTCTTGTTCCATTGGCAGAGTGTGTCACTTGCCTCCTCAATTCAAGAAAGAAAATGCACTTAATTTAACCAAAAATTACTTTTTTAAATTTCCATTTTTTGCGGTGTTCTGGTTCTGAAGCCCACTTCAACAAATTAGAGACCGCCTCATAGGGACATTAGAACCGGGCCACCTGAGAGGAACATAGTGCTCCACAAGAACAGCTGAGCCTCAGCAGCTGCTGCAGAGACAGAGGTCCAGATCCAGGCTGGAGAACCAGAACATGAGGAACAGTAGATCCTATCTGGACTCAGTGAAGCATCACTCTGATCCCCTAATGCTGGCACATTAACAGAGATGGCAAAAGTACTCACTTTCCGTACTTGAGTAAAAGTACAGATACTTGTGTTAAAAAATACTCTGGTAAAAGTGGAAGTACTGNAAGTCAGACGATTCAATGGAGACTCAGTTCAGTCAGAATGAAAGGATCCAGTTTAAAGGAGAGATCAGAACCCAGTAGAAACCAGTTCAGAAAAAATATCTAGATATAAGTAAAAATTTCTTAAGTTAAGTGTATTTACCCTTAATTTGAGCAGGTAAATTAGATAGTTTGCCAATGGAATGAGTATTTCTACTCTTAAAATAAGATAACAAGATAAAATACACTTGAAATCAGACAATGTAATAGTCTTTTCTTATTTTAAATGTAAATTTTCTTGTTCCATTGGCAAAGTGTCTCTTTTATCTCCTCAATTCAAGAACAAATGCACATATTTTAAGAAAAAAATGACCTATCTAGATTTCGATTATTTTCCAGTGAAGTAGGTGTTCACTGCAAACATTATCTAGAAATAAGTAAAAAAAGATCTTAAATTAAGTGTATTTACCCATAATTTGAGTAGCTAAATAAGATGATTTGCCAATGGAATGAATATTCTTACTCTTAAAATAAGATAATTAGATAACATGCACTTCAAATAAGACAATGCAGTTGTTGTTTTTTTCTTATTTTAAAGGTAAATTGTCTTGTTCCATTGGCAAAGTGTCTCATTTACCTCCTCAATTCAAGAAAAAAAATGCACTTATTTTAAGCAAAAATAACTTTTTTTTATTTCCATTTTTTGCAGTGTTCTGGTTCTGAAGCCCGCTCCAACATATTAGAGATCGCCTCATAGGGACATAAGAATATGGCCACCTGAGAGGAACACAGCGGTCCACAAGAACAGCTGAGCCTCAGCAGCTGCTGCAGAGCCAGAGGTCCACACTGCAAAAAATCTAAATTTAAATAAGTAATTTTGTCTTAAAATAAGTGCATTTGTTCTTCAATTGAGGAGGTAAAAGAGACATTTTGCCAATGGAACAAGACACTTTACACTTAAAATAAGAAAACACAATTGCATTGACTTATTTCAAGTGTGTATTATCTAATTATCTTATTCTAAGAGTAAAAATAGTCATTCCATTGGCAAACTATCTCATTTACATACTCAAATTAACGTTCAATACACTTAATTTAAGACATTTTTACTTATTTCTAGATCACTTTTGCAGTGCAGGCTGGAGAACCAGAACATGAGGAACAGCAGACCCTATCTGGACTCAGTGAAGCATCACTCTGATCCCCTAATGCTGGCACATTAAGAGGCGGGGTCTTCCGGTCAGCTTTTAGCTGCAGTAACCTTCCCCAGAACCTAAAGCAGAACCTGACCCAAACCACCAGGTTCTGCAACAAACAGAAACATCTTAGACAGGATCAGGATGACTTGAAATTATGAAATGTTTCTCATCTGTTCTTCTTTAGTTCAGATCAGAACATGAGGTTCTTTCCGCCTACTTCCTGTTGTCAGTCAGGTTCCAGGTGAGTGGGTTTTCACACCAGGACTATCAGCGTCGTATTATCCCTTCATGGAGATCAGTTCCTGAATGAATGAAACCCCAAGCAGCTGGAAGCTTGTGGTGTAACCGAGAAAACTTCATGGCGATTCCAGGTTTATTCTAAACTTGAATTAGAGACCAGCTGAGCTGGACCGGCAGTCAGGATGTCTTTAGCTTAGAGAAGTGGAGGATTCTGTCTCCTGAACATCATGCAAAGAACTGAAGGAGGGAAACCTGACAGACTGATCAGATTTTGGGGAATTTGGTCAAATGAAGATGAGCAGTGAAATAATCTGATGTAAACAACCTGACAGCAGGTTTTAAACATGTTTTTTCATGAACACATTACTGAACATGAATGATTTAATGACGGAGATCTGATTGTTTCTCTGCTCAATAATAAACAGGGATTTATTCTGTTGAACTATATATCCAAACATGATTTATAAACATAAAATCCCAGCTTCAACCCCTCTCTGACCAAAGTTTTAAGGGATTCGGCAGTAAAGTTCATCCATCTTCAGCTCTTTTCTTTCTTCTTTGCAAACACAGAACTAAAAGTAAGTCAGACTTTCTTTAAATTATTGTATTTAATTTGTTTTGAGCATCTAAGTTAACTGAAAACAGATTCCTGCACTGAAAATAGAAAAAGGAAAAACTACAAATACCTCCGTTATCTTATTTCAAGCGTTGTTTGCATATTTATCTTATTTTAGGGGCCAAAATAATCATTCCATTGGCAGATAACATCTGTTTCCAAATAGACTAATTTAAAGGATTTTTTGGTGCTTCAGTTTTTGCAGCACTGAAGCTGTGAGCTGATGTCCAGCTGCCTCGTTAACGAGGGAAGCTTCGTTAAACGGATCAGGATTTATTGACCGTACAGTCAGGTTTATGCATCGGCTGCTTTCCTAATGAAAACAATGTCGTGTTTTTTCATCTGCTCATTTGTTCCAGCTGCAGCAGAGAATCTGACACTGAGGAATGCAGGCGAGGATTTAGAGGCAGATCATAGAGATAAGAGCCGACTTTCCACTGAGGCTGTGACACAGAACATCGTCTGCAGTCATGACCAGCACGTGTGACACATGCTGAACCTTTGGTGTGTGATTGAGAGACTCAGCGTGGCTTCAGACGTGACAAACAGAAACCATCAGAGGTTTAAACCCACGATCAGTTCTAAGTTTAGTGTCTTCAAACATCAGTAAATGTTCTGATCAAGCAGCCTATTAGAAACAGTCCTCACCTATTTTCTCCAAAGATGGCGGATCAAGTCAGACTGAGAGCTCAAGGCAACATGGTCCTAATATTTAGAGGACGGTTCTGAATGATAATCTGACAGTGATTTACAAACTGACATCTCCAACGAACGCAGAGAGCCTCTAAAATAGAAACGTCCCGCTCTCTGTGTGTGTGTCTGTGTGTGGGAACCAGTAATCCCAGTCTGCAGCTCCTTATTGGGACAAAAGGAAAGAGGCTGGTGTGGCTGCATATTTTGGAAACTCACTCTCAGAGGTGGGAGCTGCCTTCTTCGACTTCTTGTCTGTCGGGGAGTTTTCTGGTGGATCTGCAGGAGGAACGACAAACAGAGGAGACCTTCAGCACGGAGCAAACAGCTTCACTCAGGGTCAGTTTATACTGGGAGGCTTGGAGATGGAGAGCTCTCAGAATGAGGCAATAACAGCTGCAGGCCTAACATCAACAGAAACTGTTAGTACAGGAGGTGTACGTCTACTCGGATGGGTCAGAACTTCAACAATCAGCTTCAGCTCATCCACTCAGAGCTGGTGAAGCAGAACCAGAGGTTTAAGTCTGAAACTTTGTCAGAATCTGATGTTTCCTGATACCAGAGTCTTTAATCAAATGGTTCCAGCTTAATGAACAATATGAGGAAATATTATCTGCTTTCTATTCTTTACATGCACATTATCTTAAAAAAATAACAAAGTAAAGATGATTTGATCAATTTATTTCAAAGTTAACATTTTCGTTACAGTCTCATGCACAGTGAAGCATATCCATGTCGACCTTTGGTCTACAGTTATGTTGGAGGAGGAAGGGAGCATCTACATCACTACATCTATGCTTTGCTCTGAGGGAACTATGACTTGATGCAGCTGCGTTGCCATGGAAACCATCAATCTTTCAGTCCTAACCTGAAGAGCAGAGCAGGTCTGATGAACTCAGCAGGAAGTTGGCCTAGAGGGCCTGATTTTATACCAACTAAACCATGAGATTCATTAGATCATCTGATTTAAACATCCTGGAGGCTGAGAGAAAACTTCTGGGAAAATAATAAGTTTACATTAATATTTACAACTAGACCTGGATATACAGATTATTGTGAGCTTCACTGAATAATCAGTTGATCTGCTTTCTGATCATCTAACTACTGAAAAACCAAAACAAACATAAATTATCGTTCATAAAACAACTTTAACTGATTTATCAATAATTATTTAACATCAGCTAATAAAGGGAAGCTAATTATGGGGAGTTTTATGTTTCACTTCCTGTTCCACTGGAAGTCCAACTCTGACCAGGAAGCAGAAGCAGCTGGTTTCCAGTCAGCAGTTCTCAGTTTCCAGTAACCGTTAGAGATCTTTGATAGAAAATGTTTGTTTGTGTTCATTGGTTGTAATTACAGGAAGCTCCAAACAGACGGAGGCTCCTGAGGAATCCTGGGAATCAGGAAGGAGACTAATGAAGGAGTTTCTGAACTGTTCTGATTCCAGAACCTGCAGCTTTTCAGGATCAACAGATCAGAGACATGAAGTTTTATTCCTCTGTTTTAGTCAAACATTTATCCTGTTTTGGTCTTTAGTGTTTAGTCCGTGTGGCCTTCAGATTTGAAGTGATTTAAATAATATTTACTTCTTTAAATCTTCTCATAGTTTTGAAGGATATTAAAACGATTTTTAAAGGAAAAATGAAAACTATGAACTAAAATCGAGTAAAACCTGAAGGACAACAATCATCCTCTGGCAGCAGAGTCTGTTATTTATAAATTAATACTGAGATAATGATGAATAAAAAAACAAAGCAGGAACAGAAATCTGACCCCTGGAGTTCAGCTCTGACCTGGATGGAAGGACTCTGCTGTTAAACCTGGAGGTGATCTGTTCAAAGCTTCCTTCACCTCTAACTAGACTTAAACATAGACAAACTTATAGTAATTTTGTACAAACGGTGTATATGAAACAGCATTTTGTTCAGTATAACTCTGAAGACATTTCCATTTCTTAAAGTGCAGCAGTGATCAAACATGGTGATCAATGTAAACATAGACTGAGATTTGATTTACAGTTTTTCCAACATTCAGTCATTTTTTTTCTAGTTTTAAAAACTAAAGCAGTGAGAAGATGTTGGATTCTTACCGTCGACTAGAACCATGCAGGAACACTCTGCTCTGCCAGCTGAGCTCTCTGCTCTGCATTTATACTGGCCTTCATCCTCAGGCAGAGCTTTGTCGATGGTCAGAGAGCAGAGGCCGCCTGAAAAACACAAACAGCACATTTATCAGCCTGGACACCTTCTAACAGCAGCTGTGGTGGATTTACAGGATGAAGCTCCTGATCCAGACCCAACTGCTCTGTCCCACCTGAGGATCTGAAGGTCATCAGCAGCTCCACAGACTCTCTGAAGGTCTCAGAGTTTTGGATTTTATCTGAGTGGAAACCATCCATGATTCAAAGCTCTAAAAGCTGAACTCATCATTGATAAAATGATCATCTGCTCTCATTTATGTTTCAGTTTTCCAGTGATTCCACCAGGACTGGATTCTAGATGACGGTTCAAAGAATAAAAGCATGAAATATACGGAGGAATTTAAACCCAGATTATAAACTGAAAATAAAATCCCTGACATCCTGAGAGCTGCTCATTATTTAGGTTGAATTTTAGAAATGGTCAGATTTGTTTGGATCTTTCAGCTCAATATTAACATTAATACCAGATAAAATGATCAGAACTAAAATATCCAGCAGGAATAAATGAAATAAAAGCTTTCTGGTTCAGCAATGCTGCGAGTTGCTTCTGTATGATGAAGCTTCCAGTCGAGGTAATAAGGAAGAGAAATTAGACAAACATTTTCTGCTGAGTCATGCTGGTCAGTCAGCATTAAATGACCGTAGACAGAAGACCTGAAATGTTTTCGGTTCATGTTGTCATTTAGTATTTTCTCTATTTTATGTTCAAACATCGGATTAATCATCAGAAAAAAATGGTAATCTCCTCATACTAACAGATTTTAATTGATTTTTCAAAGGTTTTCAACAAGCTAATCACAGATTTTATAATTAGAAGCCTAACCGAGCTTTATATTCTATTTCGGAATTTAATTGATTAAAATAATCACTGATAAAAAAAGATGGAGACCATAAAGTTTGTTATTTCCTTTGACTGTTAGAAGCATCAGAGTCATTATGAGGCTGAAAATCAAAGCTTTCTGTAAATAATGACAATATTTTATCATAATTAGAAAAAAAATATAATTTGTTATCTGATTATTATAGATTATAAAACTCAGTCCATTAACATCCAATAAATCATTCAGAAACAGACAAACAGACCAGAATCCAGATGTTTTCACACCTGGAAGGGAATTAAATCGATTCTTTAATGTAATGTTGATCAGAGCTCAGTGTTGGCCTATGAATATATGACGATATGATTATTAATTAAATGTCTAATTCTGAGGATGAGGAAAAACCTGGAGGTTAGTAATTAAGGCATTTTAAAAAGCAAAGCAAATAAAGTTTATAGGAGTTTTACTTTGAAGGAGCTCCAGCCACCAGCAGTCAGTCAGAACCAAACCTGCAGGCTGTGGACAAAACCTTTCATTTTAAAATGTTCTGCTGCTCAGTGATCCTCACAGCGGAGGCTGAAATAAAGCAGCAGCATCACAGAGAGAAACAGGAAGGATGGATCTAAGATCAGGTGACTGAGCTGCACTGGATCTAACGCCTGGTGATGTTTATGTTCTGATGTGCAGCTGGTAGCCTGATGTGAACGGCACTGAGCTACGACAGAATGAAGCAGAGAAAAGTCAGGTTAGAGAAATTTAGTTGGATTCACTGATGAATTGAGAGACGCTGGAAATAATATCAGCTGTTTGGATTTATTTGAATGAGAAACTGATTTAGATTGATATCATCATTTGGTTCATTATTCAGTCAGGAGGTTCTTCTTCTTCATTATTTGTTCCTAAAGGGTTCTGCATTCTTAGAAGCTGGGTGGTAAATCATGACACATCAATAATTAATAATCAGAGATTTCAGAGTGTAATCAGTGGTAGACGTCAACAAACTGCTGCTTTTATTCCGATCTAATTCCAGCGCAGCAACAGTCAGAGATGGAGTAAATTTAACTTGTGGACAAACCTGGAGGGTTGATTGGTTCTGAAGCTGATATCAACTCACTGCTGCAAATAACAACAACAACACATCACAGTCTGAAGCTGCTGTGACCTCTGACCTTCAACACGCAGCACCTCAGAGTGACGCCTGCAGGCTGAACCACGACTGTCCTCAAGGTTAGAAAAACAGGCTGGAGGATTACTGGACCCCCCCACGGACACATGATCCAACAGGTCCTGACAGATGTCTGCTGTATCTGACTGCAGGTTCTCTATGCATGTGAGACACTCTGTCTGCTATATATCTACAGAAAGTTTATGATCGGTTTCTACTTCTGCAGATGGATAAACTGATTCAATCAAAGCTGAAACATTTAGAATAAACTCAACATGAATTCAACCAAAGGATCATTGAGTCACATTTAGGTTCCAGTTTAGTTTGTTTCTATTTAGAATAGAATCAGAATCAGTCAGTCAAATCAAACCAACCAGTTAAACTTTGTGAAGCCCATAGAAAGCAGGTGGTGACAGTGGAGATAAACAGCTCCTTATTAACATGAAGAAACCTGTAACGATACCAGGTCTCTGTGACAGTCTGTCAAACATAATCCATCCAGATTAGCTCTGTCTTTAAGGAACTTTGAGTCGTCTGATGAAATAAACACTTTTACTCCACAGATCTCCATCATTGTTGTGTTTTTTTGCCATTCAGGCTATGTGTGGACCTGCTTCTGTGCACTCATGTCATTTTTTGTCATTTTGAAGGCATTATCCAGCAGACAAGGCAAGTGATTGGCTAATTTTCAGGAGATCCCGCCCCTTGAAGCTGTACTCTTCTTCCTACCAGCAAAGCAACTTTAGGCTAACTGCTTCTCTTCAAGTGTTGGAAGTAGGTAAGCAAAGTCATCAAGTGTAACACAGTCAGGATAAATACTGGATTCTGATTGGCTGTAGGGTTGGTTGCTTTCTCTGCTGGGTAAAGCCTTAAAGTGACAAAAGTTGACATGAGCAGAGAAACTGTTTCAAACGTGGGGAGGGGGGAGGCTGCACGGGGAAATCAAACCTTACCTGTGCAGAGAAGGAACAATTACTCAGGTGTGATATATTGGGCCCCGTGGTTCTCTATCTAAATATATAACAAGCTAAACAAGCGAGTGAGGAGGAGTTTATGAGCGTCTGTATGAAGTAAAGCTGATATTAGGTGTATTTATTTTATGTGCATACTACAATTTATAAAGATAATCTTAATTATTGTTTTTGCACATGTATAAAAATGTAAAAAAATAAGTTTATGAATGTATTAAAAATCAAACCAGAGTTTATTTTTAATTATTTTTGTTTTAAATAGTTATTTTCGCAAATAGTTTTGTTTGAAAATTCGAATTTTCCTCTAATATTGGTATTCAGTACCAATAATAGAGGGTAGGGGGCGCTGTGGGTCATTAAAAGTGACGTCATGGTCTGGTGCTGGAATAATCATTTGTAACTGTCACTACCCGAACCGTCCCATCAGCATGCAGATACACATCCAGGTCACCATTAGTAATATAATCATGGTACTAAAAGTACAAATTTCTCTCCTTAAATCACTAAAGAATGCAAATTCTCATCTTTAAACACATTTTTATTGACTTTTCTGAGACAATTTTGAGGGTTTTTACATTTTCTTTATTAAACTGTTTATCTGACGTCATCTTTGGACATGCTCAGAGCAGTCTGGCAAAACATGATTAAACCATGTTAGTCTGCATTTTAGTTGTTTCCTTCTTTATATAATGCAAGATATACTATAATGTTAACATGAAACAAAAACATAAAACCCGAAAACACTACATTTATGTTTAAATCCAAAGCCAAAAATGTTAGCTCCTGGAAGTAGCGTAGGATCCCATTTCTGGCACAGATGAGTGATAAAACAGAAAGGATTTATATGCATTTGCTTTCTCAGAATATACATAATTAACCTTTAAAGTAGGAAAATCATATTTAAATGTCAAATAATTCTGGCTTAAACATGTATATAAATTTATTCTTTATCTGACCATATTGTCCCAAAAGTTAGAAAATTTCTATTTAAAAAAAAAATCCTGTCTCAAAATCGGTGTTGTTTTTTTAAATTTCCGTTATTTTCTGCAGGCCAGTTAGTTCTACGTCAGCCTGAACACCTAAATTTGGCCAATCACGTATCAGCGGTCAATCACATTCTTTCCGTCATAGCATCTTGATTGATATGTCGCAGCTAATATACCCAACGGTTGAAGTAAGAAACCAGAATAATTTCCTTTCCCATTGAGTTGCGTCCCAGTGTTCACGGGGATGGACGTCTGTGTCTTCGGCAGGCGTAGAGCTAACAGAACTGGCAGCGTTGCGAGGCAA